CTAAACGCGCGCTAAGTTCAATTTGTGGGCCTGTTGGTTTCCTCGTAGCGTTCCATTGATTGCGATGTGCGTTCGGCCGGGCTACCGATGACGACGATCTTATACCACGGATGGCACTGCCCACCACTGCTGTGGGGAAATGACTTAACCCGGTCAACCGCGCATCAGGAGTTTGACATGTCACGTATGCAGTAGGGGCACGGCTGCTCGGGCCTATTCGCTATACAGGAGACAATGCAGAAGACAAAAGAGCAAAATACCTCTCAAAATTAAAAAAAAAAAGTAGAGATAGAGATGTAGTGGGAAATTAAAAAGATGTATTAAGGGAAGAGAAAGATGCATTTGAAAGTAAGAATAATAATTATTGTAGGACAAAATTTGAATGCTACAGAATCAAGTATTTTGTGACAGAGGGAGTAGGTGTTTAGATATACTATAATATATTGATACTTACTAATATTCAGGCAAGGTCAAGGAAATACACGGGTCAAATTAACATCATTCGTGCAATCTACTGAGAAGACATGGAGCTGAGGGATGAGGACATTGTAATGGAACAAGCCAGAGAAACTATCTGCATCATTTTAATTTCGTTTGATCTAGCTCTAGCTCCTCAGTTAGAGTAGTTTTTTTATAGAAGAACATTTAGTAAAATAGCTTATCATGGTAGATAAAAGGGGTGAAATGTTCATGATGTCCTTATCTTTTTATCCCCCCCCCCCCCTCTATCCTATTTCTACTTTCTTCCCTTAAAAGTAGAAGATGCACTCAGTGGATACTTTCTCTTATCACCAGTAGAAGATGCACCGGAAAGTTGGAGGTATCTGGCCAGACTCAATACATAGGTAATATATTGATCAATGGACCAGACAATCTGGCTAGAGGAAGAACATACTGCCGGAGAACTGAAGACAGAGGTGGGCTAGGCAGTATTCCACACGGGAGTATGGGCTGGAACACTTACCAAACATTCTAGTGTGAAGGCAGGAGACCAATGGATCATCCGACGATGTCCAGGGACTCGGCCACTGTGCGACACTATGCAAAGGCGAGCACCGGACGAACCGGTGATAGGAAGTGCACGTACAATGGAGTATTGTTCGGTGTGCATCAAAGAGGTGGCTAGAGAAGATTATATGCACCGGACGGTCTAACGGAAGAAGAAAAGACAGCACCACAGACAATCCAACGGTAGGGAAATTGCAATGGCTAGTAGCACCACATGACTTGGAGATGAATATAGTGAAGGCAGCGGATTATCCGAAGCTTACAGTTTTCTGGCAACTTTTTATAATGACTACTTGAGGGAAGGTCGCCGTGAGCTCGGTGGTCAGGCTGCAGTTGCCGTGGCCGCGGATCTGGAGCTCCTTAGCCCGGATCTAGCCCCCCAGGCCCCCGATCTATGGCCGGAGCGGGGTCCCGTCCATGGGCAGCCAAGGCTGTGCGTGGCTTCACCAGGAGTTCCAGCCTCGGAGGGCCTCCATGGCCTCCGGTTGCTGCTACCGTCTTCAAGGCCCGCCGGCCCGAGCTGGCCGCGGGCGAAGGCATGTGGCCGGGGTCGCCGGCCACCGGCCGCTAGCTACCGGGCACCTTGTCTTGGCCTCAGGCAGATGGATTGGAAATGGGCGAAAGCCTTGCTCAGACTTAGCTCCGGGCCGGCGGCGGTGTCGCAGCCTGCGCCATCTTCCTCCTTGGAGGCGTCGTCGAAATTTCCATTCTCGGCCTCACGGCAGGACGTGGTGGTGCTACTCTATACTTCGGTGCTCTTCCTCCTATGCGTGTATTGGGACCCTCGGCACGCGGTTTTGTCGCGGGCATGCTGGCGGCGGGGCTGCGTGCCTGAAGGTGGTTTCTTCTTCACGTGTGGGCATGGTGCATGCAGTTTGGCCGCAGGCGAGCCGGCGGCGGAGCTGCGTGTCCGTGGGCGCCCTCCCCCTGTTCGGGATGGCAGAGCGCCGGTTGTTTAGAGTGGTCGTGTCGCCCATGCTTGCGCCCGTGGCGGCGGCGGCAGCATGGAGCGGCGGCCGCGCGTTAGCTGCACTTGCAAGGTTCTGGGCGAAAGCTCAGCCCAGCTCTAGGCTGGGTCAGCGACGACGTTTTCCTTCTTGAAGGTGTCGCTGAAGAACCTCGCCATCGCGCTTGGCCTGTCACTGCTACTAAGCGTCATCGGGGTGGCGGCCTCTCCAGGGGCTCCTCGAGGTGGGGGTGGGGCTCTGTGCCGTTGTTGGCCTCAGGTATGGCCATTGATGCCAGTATTTGTTCGTGGTGCCCAAAATATCACTACCAGTGTACTTACTCCACCATCATCCATGAACCTTGATTGCCTTGTCTCACCATATGCCGGGTTAGCGGGACCATGATCCCCTCTCTTGGATCTCCTCCCATCCCTCCCTCCTTCGAGGCTTCCTTCCTTTGATGGGCGTTAGTGGGTGTCGACTGGATCCCAGAAGTGCTTCAAGACAACACAAATCACGACTGTCGTCTGCCTCCTTGGGTCAGAGCTTAACAGTTGTTTGGGAATTGGAGGTCGTCGAAGTTTTGTCACTTGAGAGTGTTGATTGCCGGTGTACAATGACATGTTGTGCACTTCTTAAAACCCCATCTCGGTTCGAACCCCTTCTTTCTAATGTTTTGCACAAGTTCTAACAATCATGCTTCGCCTCCGGTGGCCTAGCTCTGCTTTTCTCCATGATCCTTGGTTGCCTTGTTTCATCAAATGCCGGTAATGAGACCATGGTCCCCTCTCTTGGATCTCCTCGTGCTCCTTTTTTCCGGTCCTCCCTCCATTGAGGATTCCTCCTCTCACTAGGCGTTGGTGGGAGTCAATTGGGTCCCGGATGTGCTTCTAAGACAATGTAGTCACGACTGTCGTTTGTCCAATACGACTCGAAGCTTAACAGTCGCCGTTGGAGTTGAGGTCACGGAGTTTAGCCTATTGGTTGTGGTGTTGTCAGTGAACCACGACTCCCAAACATGAAGCTTTCCTATGCGGTGCTCGTCTACCGCAAGATGACAGGAACTTTGACATTTCGCCTCTTTTGATGTTTTGTAATAGCTAGCGCTTTGTACTCTTAGCAGCAACAAAATCAAAAGTGTATTTGTAACCATATGTCTATTTAAGAGCCAATCATCAATATATCATCCAGGTGGGGATTCCCCCCAATCGATTTATCAAAAAAAAGGCCATATATATACGAGGTTACCTCACTTGCTTCAGTGTGTTGAAGTGCCCGAAGGCTGATACAAGTTAGAGCAAGTATTTCTAGACTTCATCGACCCTCTCAAGTCATTCAAGATCACATCCAAGGCTAGGATAAACACTATATATAGTGCATCCTTGTGAGTTTAAACCTTAGAGCTTGAGAGCTTTGAGTGTTGGGTTGTGTGGCCCTTTGTATCTTGGTGACGTGTGGAGCGCTTGAGATCTTTGTGACCTTCTCGTGAAGGCGTGGTGGCCTTCGAGGCGGCGACCCTCCGTTCTTGGTGTGGAGCGGTCTCTAATCAGTGTGCAGTGGATGAGGAGACCTTGTTCCTCCAGTGGACAATCTTTGTAGTGGACACAACATCATAGGTGGTGGGAAGAGCCGGGTAGCAGTGGTGAGACTATGTGACTCACACACTAGCCTTTGGTTGGTAGAAGCCTTGTGTGGCAAATCCAATACCGTGACTGGGAGGAACTTGGTGGCCAGGAGCGTACCACGATGAAGCTCCAACGTGGAGTAAGGGTTATGACTTAGCAACACCATGTGACATATCGTCGTATCTCCAGGAGTTTGCCCTTTCTACCCTTAGATTTTTTACTTACTGCTTTTATTAGATCAACACTACTTTGCTTGTGTGGCCTTTACCTTCCTAGATTAGCTTTAGGCAAGTTAATAGGTTTGACTCTAGGTTGTAAAACTCTTTGTGAGTTAAAGCGTAAGTTAGAACACATTAGAAAAATCTTAAGTGCACATCTTGATGGACTAGTTTATGGTTTTTCTAGTGGTAGTTTAATTTAAGCTTTAGACTTTTAAAGTTTGTTTTAGACATCCAATTCAGCACCTCTCTTGATTGCGCTCACTGGACCTTTCACTAGAGTCATAGTATCAATGTGTCCTATGCAATGATGACTTAGAAGAGACTTGTTTTCATCTCTTCTTCCAATGCAGTACAAGTATATCTCTCCATTTGTTATGCTGCAACAAGCGAAAACTCGAAACCTTTCTTCATGGAGCTTTATATTATTGTTGTTTTGTGCATTTGGAAATAGCGAAACATGTCCATCTTTGACAACAAGATTCCATATGTGGCCAGAGAAAAATCCGTTTAGGCAAGAAGTTAGACTCCTTCGTATAGTTCCATTATGGTTTGGCTCAACTCTTTGTAATGCTTGTCCCTCTTAGGCTCTTCAGGCGTACGCATGGTGGCAAATTTTTGGCGATGGAGAGACGGGGCGATGAGGCCGTAGGGTGCCACGTGCAGTGAATCTACGTGTCGGCGGGGGCAGCCCTTCTGTGCCATGTGTAGTGAATTTGTGTGTCGGTGGGACTGACAACGTCGTGGAAACGAGATAGGGCCTGGCCGCCCCGCCCACTCCAGACGCTGCTGAAGACGCGGGCAGCACAACGAGGACGTGGACAAACCAAGGGTGCTACAGTGGTGATCATGACAAAGTATTTTTTAATTGGTTTTTACCACTAGTTTGAAATCGATGGTGATCACCACCCAGTTTCACCAATGGTACGTAAAACCGTTAGTTATTTAATCAAAGCGAAAAAAGGTATGCCCACAAATATAAAGTTCAGAACGTTGGTAGATCCAACACCTGACCCTTTATTGTTAAACAAAGTCAATCAAAAAACGATACATATCAAGCCGATAATTAAGGGACTACTAATTTAGCACTCCACCGCCTTATTACGGTTCATTACTGTAGGTCTGACTTACTTATTCATGGATCTAATGACTTGTAGTAATACCTTTTCGCATCGGGCTGTACTGCATTTAAATTTGAATTTCTAAATTCCCTCCAGAGTGGCGGGGGCATGCAGCACCATGGTCTCGATTGTGATTCCCGGTCCGAATGCCATCATGACTCCCCACTCCGGCGCTTGGCCTTCCTCCAGGTTGGCCGCCCGACCCCGACGGCGGCGCAGCTCATCGAGCACGAAGATCACCGTTGTGCCGCTCATGTTGCCGAACTCGCTGAGAACGTGGCGACTGGCCGCAAGCTTCGCGTCGTCCAGGCCGAGCACTCCCTCGATGTGGTCTAGGATGGCACGGCCACCAGGATGGATCGCCCAGAAGAGGTCGTTCCAATCGGCATTATGGATGCCAAGCGCGCCAAACGCGTCCACCAGGCAGCGTTCAACGTTGCATCCCAGCAACCGGGGAACCAGGTTGGAGATGTGGTATTCCATGCCTCCCTTGTTGATTTGCATGGAGATGGCGTCCTCGGTTTCCGGTATGGTGGTCTGCAAGGCGAAGGCCATCTCGAACAGCGGGCGCTCCACGGGGCTGACGGGGTCGGCGCCGACGATGACGGCACCGGCGCCGTCGCCGAACAGAGCCTGGCCAAGGATGTTGTCGGGGCAGCCGCCTTCCGGCCCGTAGAAGGCGATGAGCGTGATCTCGGAGCACGCCACGAGGACGCGCGCGCCGCGGTTGTTCTCCGCGAGCTCCTTGGCGAGCTGGAGCGACCTGCCCCCGCCGTAGCAGCCGTGGAGGTTGAGTATGGTGCGGGAGACTGTGGGGCTGAGGCCCAGCAAAGACGCGAGGCGGCGGTCGGCGCTCGGGGCGCGCGCGCCGGAGTAGGTGCTGAAGATGAGGTGGGTGATATGGGTGGCTGGGCGGCCCCACTCGGCGATGGCCTTGGCCGCCGCGGACGCGGCCAGCTTCGGGACGGCGGCCGAGGCGATCTCCACGCGGGCGTCCAGGGACGGCAGCGTGCGGTCGGTGAAGTCCGGGTTCGCGGCCAGGAGCTGCTCGTCCAGGTGGACGAAGCGCTGCTTGATGCCCGACTTGTTGCATATCCTGGTGAGCTTGCCCTTGAGGTCGGTGAGGTGCTCGCTGTTTGTGACGCGGAAGTAGTAGTCGGGGTACTCGTCCTGGGCCAAGCACGTCGGCGGGTTCGCCGTGCCGATGCCTAGCACGGCAGCCGGCCCATCGGCGCGCTGGGCACGCCTCATCTCGCGGACCGTGGCGGGAGCGCTGCCCATGGACGTCGTACGACACCAGCTAGCTAGCTCTCTCGCACCTGGGCTCTAGCTACCTGAGAGCAGTGTAAGAGATATATTTGCTCTTGGGATGTTCGTGTCTTCGTGGTCTGGACAAGCAGGAAGTGCGTTCTATATTTATACAGCAATCCTGTACGTGACGTGATGGTCTCCTCGAGCGGGCCGGGGCATGGCGAATTCCTATACCAGTGCCCTGCAGGTACGTAACTGTGGCCGCCGATGCTGCCGGGGACTGACTTGCATTGAACTGGTCAACCATGCATATGCATGCAAAGGACTAAAGTTATTTAGGTTGATCTTACGGAAATATAGTGCCGTTTGTATATGTCGTCAACAATATATTCCATAATGCAGCAGTAATTATACAAACTTCTATTGAAATGTTCATAAATAAAAAAGTTATAGTCAAAGTTACATAATGGATCATGTAAATCAGTAAATGTTCGAAACTTCGTAGATTTACAGTGGAAGAAGTGTAGCGTTGATAACAACACCAGCTATATTAGCTACCGTAATACTCCCTCCGTCCCCAAAAAGAACGTGGCCTGTTCGGCTGGCTGGAAAAACGGTTGATACTGATGCTGATTTGTTGTGAGAGAAAAACACTGTTATTTCGCTGAAACGGTACGGCTGGAACAATATCATGTGCTAGTATATCAACTTTGACCAATTATAGATAAAAAAAGTATAAATATTTATAATATTAAATAAATATCATTACATTAATTACTAAGCGCATTTTTATAATAAATTGATTTAAAGTTATAAATGTGAATATTGAAGTATTTACTATAAATTTGGTCAAATAGAAATCATTTAACGTAGCATGTAACTCATAGTTACATTCCTTCTTCTCGGACGGAGGTAGTAATAATTAAGAGAGCATTCCATTCAGGTTTTCCCCCAAAGAAGATTGGCTGGGACCTTGTTCTCGTTCCTACTGCAAGCAATAATGCAATTTTTTGCGGTCTGTGTGGTGAGTCACAAGGACGTGTATTCCGCCCAACTGCTATGTGAGGTTAGTGGTCCAATTTTGCTGCAGCTAAGCTGGTTTCACCTGTTACCCACGCGTTACGGAAATTGATGATGATTTAGAATAAAATTAGACTATATATAGTCACTTATACAAAAGGATAATCAATTATAAATTAATGTTAGTGGATGATGTGGCTCGTTGATGTGAATAACTAAATGCATGCTAGTGGATGATGTGTCTTGTTGACGTGTAGATCATAATTGCAAATGCTACTAGGCTATAAATGCATCTGAGATAGTGGACTGTTGAGTGGATAGCTAGCTTGCACGTTAAGATTGAACTTTAGTGGGATTTAGGATTATAAGATACTAGAAGCATATCCACGCGTTGCTGCGGGAGTTGCGGTCGATTTCGAATGAAATTCAACTACATATTTTTATTTATATCAATGAATAAAGTATTTTAATCTTCGTGAATGGTGTGGCAGGGTGATGTAAACAACTAAATGCATGTTAGTGGATCATGTGTCTTGTTGACGTGTATATATCATAATCGTAGATGCTAGTAGTTGTAATTCCATCTGATAGTGGACTTGCTTAGGTGAATAATTTGTATGTCGAGATAGAATCTGGTGGGGTTTAGGATTATATATAAGAGATATAGACAGATATTGATAGATAGATAGAGATAGATATTCATTCATTCATGAAAATGCGTAGAAACATAATATGCAGCGGACATCGGTTTTTGATTCGAGTTGGTGGAGTACCCACGATGGCCACAGCTTACCTGGTTAGCATTCATAAATTTTTATTTTATTTTTAACACTTTTTTAAAACTATTTTCAAATTTGACATTGTTTTTTTTTAAATCTAACACTTTTGGCCGCGCCTATTCGCATGACGCGGCGAATTCAAGCTGTCGCGTCATGCATGGGGACGCGGCAGGGGTGCCAATGTGGCAGCGTCCCGGCCCGCTGGTCGCTGACGTGGTAGGCCTTGCCGTGCCACGGATCAAGGTGCGACAGTGACGTGCCACCCATCAGAGCGCGGCAGCTGCACCTGGCGAAGTCAGCAACAAGGGCTTGTTTGGTTTGCACCCTGGACTGATTTTGCCTGGGCAAACAGCTGCCTGGAGTGCATTTGGATGGAGCCCTGGAAACGTGTCTGGGCCAGGCGATGCACCCTCTGCCAGGCCATCGAAAATGACCGCCTGGCTACAGCACGCTGCTGCCTGGGCTAAATCAATACGGTAATGCACTTTTTGTCTTGTTTTTTATTTGTTGTAGTCATTTAATTTTTTTTCTCACCATCAAGATATAAAGGTGTGACCGAAACACCTTCCCATGTTTCCTTATAATATCTGTCCCTTAATTATATGTGTAAATAGTTGTCAAGTAAAATAATAAAATTATTTTTTGTTTTTTATATTATTTATTTATAAAAGCAATGATTTATTTTTGCCTTTATTTAATTGTGTCTATTACTCAAATGATATTAAATAAGGTTATAAACAAAAGAAAACATATTTTCTCTTTTTATTAAACTTCTCAGGCACACGCTTCCAATCAAACAGACTATCTCTCAACTTGCCTGACGAGGCAGATTTTATTAAAATCTCAGCCAACTTCCAACAATACCTTTTACCAGGCAGGCCCAAGTGCGTGTGAGAGATTGCTGCGTCTGCGTGCCCCGCCGGCCGCCGCCGCTGCCAACCAAACGGCTTTACGCTCGACACATGACACGATGCGCCACCGCCGCCCGCCGGCCTATCCATCCACCTACGGCGGCCTTCAATTGCTGCTCGCGAATCGTACGTGAGATCCTCACGAAAAGCGCTTGCGGGCAGTTCAGGGCTTCAGGCAGGCCGCAGGGGTCAGGTCAGGGCGCTGCAAAAGGTGAACAGGTGTCCGTGTCACCTGTGCCTGGTTGAAGACGGAACAGTGGCGCCGTGGCGGAGAGCAGAGCAGGCCTGGCTCCTGCGCTCGCTCGCGCGTATGTTTTCGGTGAACCAACGGAACAACTCGCTACGCTGGGTGCTCCGGGCTTTGCGCCTTCGTAGCATCTGGCCATCCCTCTAGCTACCAAACAACCATAGTAGCGGTGTTTGAAAATGTGAGCGTGTTCGTGTGTGAACAGTACTAGTAACGGTACGTGTGCCAGCGAGGAGAGGTTTGTAAATGTTTGTGGGTGCTCGTGTACAGTGTCCTCTCCTCTAAAAATCTTGGATTTCATCCGTGTCACGGTGTCAGCGTCTGTGGGTTCTTTGCTCTTGGAAATGTGGCCTCTAGGTGTGGCAAGTAGAGGCTACGGCAATAATGGTGTCAAAGAACCCGATATGGAGCTCAACATTGTCTCACGAGTTGGGGCCGGGGTACGGCGAGCGCATCGGCCACCGAAGCACGCATGTGTCCGCCGTTGCTTTGTGGCGAAAACGAGCGTCGAGGAACGAAGATGTTGGCTTATTTAACGGTTACTTGCTTGCCTTTTTCTATTTTAAATAAGCGAGGAAGGTTACATGCTTACCACTCTAGGCTCTACAGGATCGTTTTTAGTTGTGTTCGTTTCTGTGTGTTGGGCACCAAGATTCTACATTTAGGCCATCTTTCGTTGCTTGCCTTTGTGTTTCTCGCTTGAGCCCTTGAGGTGGAATACTGTACAGAGGCAGAGCGAACGGATCGCAGATCCGGCACGGAAAAGCGCTTTTCGTGAGGATCTCACGTACGATTCGCGAGCAGCAATTGAAGGCCGTCGTAGGTGGATGGATAGGCCGGCGGGCGGCGGTGGCGCGTCGTGTCATGTGTCGAGCGTGAAGCCGTTTGGTTGGCAGCGGCGGCGGGCGGCGGGGCAGGATAATAATCCATTTTTAGTGTCTAACTACTATCTGTGTTTATTTTTGGCCCTATATATACATATACAAGTCTAAAACTAGTATTTTCTAGGCACCAAACTATTAATACCAAACAAATTTGACCATTTAGTTGGTTTTATAAGGGGTAGTGTACTTACCAAAATAACAAAAACACTAACAAGCACGTACAGTATATATACTAGTGCTCTAGGGAGAGGGTTTGCGTCTTGGTGGTCTGGACAAGCAGGACGTGCGTTCTATTCAAACAGTAACCCTGTACGTGATGGTCTCCTCGAGCGGGCCGGGGCATGACGTACGAATTCCTATACCTGTGGTATATCCTGGTACGCAACTATGGCCGCCCGATAATGCTGCTGGGGACTGACTTGAACCGGTCAACCATGCATATGCATGCAAATGACTAAAGTTATTTAGGTTGATCATATGGAAATATATAGTTTCTTTGTATATGTCGTTAAACGTATTTATACACATTGGGGATCATGTAAATGTATTCAAAACTTCGAAGATTTACAATGGAAGAAGTGTGGCGTTCATAACACACCAGCTATTTATCTACCGTAATAATAATTAATAAGAGGACATTCAAGGAGTTTTTCCCCCCAAATAAGATAATGGCTTGAACCTTGTGTTCTAGCTCGTTCCTACCGGAAACAATGGCCCTGTTCGTTTTGCTGAAAAGCTATGATTGAAAGTACTGTTTGCTAATTTGTTGTGAGAAAAAAACATTGTTCATTTGCTGAAATAGTACGGCTCATAAGATAAGCGAACAGGACCAATAATACAATTTTCTCTGTCTCTATATGGTGCCAACTTCTATGTGACTATGTGAGGTTAGTGGTCCAATTTTGCTGCAGCTAATCTAAGCTGGTTTCACCTGTTATGTAATTCATGAAAATGTGTATAAACATGCAGCCGGCATCGGGTTTTGATTGGAGTTGGTGGAGTACCCACTAGGGCCGGCCACAGCTAGTGAATAAACCAATCTAAAGACAAGAAAGCGTGTGGCCAGGCTGCCCACACGGCGCGCCACGTCGCCGGCCGTTCCCGGCCGTTCGATCGGCCGCATCGACGGCCCAGATCGGGCGAGGTGCGGTCATTTTACGAAAAACCCCTTATGTTTTTGGGAAATCAACCCGCGCTCCAGAGGCCCTCTCAGAATATTTTGCAAATAACACCTCAGATAATTTTCAAATCAACCCGCAGTCCAGAACGGATGAGCTCCGGATTTTTTGCAAAAAAACCCTTCCTTTTATCAAAAATCAACCCGCACTCTAGAGACACTCTCAGCGATTTTTTCGAAAACCTCCTCAGATTTTTCTCAAATCGAAATACAGGCCCCCCTTGATTATATCTTTTTTTTCCAAAAAATACATGTGGCCAGTGGCCCGCGCGCATGGGCGCGCCCGAAGAACTAGTTGGTAAATAGGCGGTGTTCGCTGCAGTGCATAGCTAGCTTAGATGTAGCATACCTGGTAAGCATTCACTAGTGTCCTAGTGATATGCCCTATCAAGATATACACATGGTTTAGGACAATAATTAATTAAGGTTGTTGACCATCATTTAGCGAGAAGTCCATTTTTAGTGTCTACCTATTTGTCCGAGTTTGTTTTTAACTGCCCTACAAAGTCTAAAACTAGAAAGTTCTTTTGTCACCAAACTATTAATACCAGATTTTGGTCGTTTAGTTGGTTTCATAAGTGTTTACTACCTCTGTCATGTAATATAGTGTATTATAGAAATTTTAAGACAAATTAAGAGAGAACATAAAAGACGCATGTATCCTCATTTTATTTCCTAATCAGACGCTATCATCAACATAATTAGTGGTGATTCGTTAATAAATGAAAAGTATTTAATGCAAAATTGGTTTTGTCCTCTAGAATACATTATATTTGAGGACAAATTTTGAATGCTAGAATGCACTATATTATAGGGCGGAGGGAGTATGTATTTATCAAAATAACAAAAACTAGTTTATTTTCTAAAATATAAATGTAAGTAACTCTTTTTAAAACTACTACAATCTCTTTTTCTGAAATTAACATATGTATAGCAGTGCTAGATTTGGAGTTATTCAGACCTAATTTGTACTTCTTCCCAGTGTTCTATTGCTCGTACCTATTAATTATTTAAATCATTATTTTTTGCTATATATTAAACCTTGAAACCGACCATCATGTTGGGAAGGTAAGCCAGCCCTTGTGCCACCCCTGGTTCCACAAGGGGATCGGAGTGTGAGGTAGAGGTAGAGCTACCCTGTGTCAAGGTGAAGCCATATGACGGCAGTGCCCACTCGGTTGGGGACGCCATTTGTCTCCACCAGCTCCACTTGGAAGAGCCGCCTCCAAAGCGCGAAGTGAGTGGCAACTCCTAGGAAACGCTCACATAGTGCCACGAAGATGGCGAGGTGGATGATCTCGTACGCAGTCAGGTCATGGAGGCAGACCCCGTAGAAGTATAAGAGCCCTCGAGAGAAGGGGGGTGTGGCGATGCCAAAGCCACCGCGATGGAAGGAGGTGAAGGTGACACCCTCTGATGCTCTTGGCCTTAGTTCCTCCTCCGTCGGGCCCAGTCTCCACCCAAGAAGACCTCTCTCTAGGAGTATGTTCCAAGACAGGAGAAGGTTTGTGCTCTCCTCGTTCACATGTGAAGCCACCCACTCCGTGCCATCACTCTGGAGGTCTGAAGCAAGAACAATGGTGATGTGAAGCGTGAGTGGCGGCGCAACAGCAAAGATCACACAAGCGATAGCAAAGACATGTGTGTGGAGAGAGCAGATCACCCCCTCATCTCCTTCCCATTTTATAGTTTGGGGGTGGTAACCGCCACCTCCTCACTCGATTCTAGCGCCATGATGTGATGGTCATGCAACACACCAGCCGCTGACGCACACCACGCACGCACGAACCCCAAGGGGTTGTGCCCCCTCAACTTCTCCGCACTAGATCGATGCCCCGAATCTGCGAATTCAAAGTGCCACACTCATGAATGACGCATATTGGATCCCAAGGGCGGAGCGCTCCGCACAGAACCCCTAGCGCGCCGTGGCGGGGTTGTGGGCGGCGATGGGGGCGAGGGTCGCTAGAGACGGAGAAGACGCCGAGAGGAAGAAGATGAGCCGTCGGGGCGCAGGCCAAATCGACCGACCGTGCGGCTGGCCTAACACACGGCGGTTGTGTGTTAGTGGCGTCCAAAACTAAATCTATTTGCAGGCTAACGGACAAACCTGCAAGCATCCTATAAACAGATATAATTAACGCAAGTAAAACCAATCTCCATCAGGATCAGGGCATCAAACACGAAACACGAACGGATAGTGACAATAATAGAAAATAGGATATTTGGGACTCCAATCGTTGCGCTTTGCAATTTTGCTATTCGTAACGTCGACTTCGCAAAAATAGGTCTCCAAACATGTGACACTTGTTTTTCTTGCCATTATGTGTATTTTCTCTCTTTTCTAGTATTCCTCCCTATATTTGACATCTGAAAGGATGTTTTTACCCTTATGGTTTTTTTGCACCGTACGTATGTGGAGAGCCCGACGTTTCGAGTCGCCCTAACCGATCGAGCTTTGTCTTACCGCCGCCCACCACAATCCAGACCTCCCGTGCCAGCAGTCATGGACGGCCAGCCGCCCGACGCCATGGCCGTGGCCGCCCTTGGCCAGGCAGCAACCGCAGACGGCCTGTCCACGCGCGCTCAAGCACTGGCCGCGTCGGGCGTTCAAGACCTGGCCGTGCCGGACGTTCCGGGCGTTCAAGACCTGGCCGCGCTACTTGCCTACCCTGGCGGTGGCCAGCCAGCTTGCATGCCGAGGCGGCGGCGGCTAGCCAGCGAGCGCCGCGGCTAGACAGCCAGGAACGGTTGACGGTTGGTATGGACGGAAAAATCAAACAAACGAACAGAAGGGAGCGAGCAAACATATGCAGAAGGGCAGAAATGTCTTTTTAGGAGCCAAATACATGTATATAGAGATTAAAAAAGAGAGAAAATACACGTATTGAAATCAAGTGTCACATGATTGGAGCAGCGGCGGATCCAGGAAAAATTTTAGGAGGGGCTGAACAACACATACCTCCGACTACTGCTCGATCTTAAGTCTCAGCTCCACCCACACTATAAAACTTTACCTAAAAATTCATGGGGCTCCAGAGAGATTCCACAGCTCCGGTATAGGTAGGGGGGCTCGAGCCCCCCGCCCCACTGTTGGATCCGCCCCTGGATTGGAGGCCAATAACGAATGGCAAAACTGCCGAGCGCAAATTGGAGTCGCAAATATCCACTGACAATTCGAAATCCCATGCACCGGCATAACTTTTTCGGGTCCACGGCGCCGTGGATGAGCGCATCATACAGCCTCTCCAGGCAGACGACCGACGATCCGCCGTGCTCCACGGCCTTGCGGCACGCAGCTTTCATCTCCACGGATTTGTTCCTAATCTTCCTCGCCGTCTCGCCGTCGTCCATGAGAGCTTTAACCGCTCGCTCCAGCTCGGCAGCCTCAACGAAATTGTTTCTCTTCTTGTCCACCTTCATCGCCTCGGCGACGCCCATATCTGCCACAAGCGTGAACGCGTTGAAGTGCTGTTCGGCGGCGTGCAGCCACGGCAGAGTTGGCACGCCGAACCACAGGCTCTCGACGATCGAGCTCCAGCCGCAGTGCGTGACGAAGCCACCCACAGCGGCGTGGGCTAGTATCTCATTCTGTGGCGCCCTCGTGGGCCACACCAGCCCTCTCTCCTTTGTCTTCTCCAAGAAACCCGCCGGTAGCAGCTCCGCGAGGTTTGCGTCCGTGGGCAGCTTGCTGCCGGGGGGCTCCGGCTGTCCACGCAACACCCAAAGGAAGCGGTGGCCACTGCGCTCCAGGCCCCGTGCTATCTCGTGCACCTGGTGCGTGCTGAAGTACCCGCCGCCGCCTCCGAAGCATAGGAACAACACGGAGGCTGTTGGCTGTGAGTCGAGCCACCGCCGCAGGCACTCGTTGACCAGCTGGATCCGTGGCGCGATGGCGACCACCGGGCCGATCGTATATACCGTCGGGGGCCGGACCCCGCACGTGCATCTCCCGCCTGTAATAGCTGCAAGAACGCTTGGCTCGAGCTCGGCAATGGTGTTGACCATGATGCCGTTGGTCTCCATGTAGCGCCTGCCATTGTACAGGAATCACTAGTATGTCGAGATCTTCCTGTTGTCCAGTCCCGTCGGGAGGCAGGACGCCGGCACCGGCGGGAGCCCAGGCACGTCCAACCCGCCCTCCAACTCCTCGAACTCGACCCCGGGGCCCACCTCCTCGTCGAGCGACGGGGAGCGCAGCAAGACCGCGGCCATCGCGGCGCTGCTGATGAGGAAGACGTAGGCCGGCACGCCCAGCTCCTGGGGCGCGTCGAGGAGCGTTGTGCAGAAGATGTCGACCACGACCGCGGCCACCAGGCATGTCAAGCCGGACACGATCGCCTTGATTTGGGGCACGTACAGCTGCACGTAGCGGGAGACGAACTCCTCGATGCCGGTGTGGTCGGTCGGGGGCTCCGCGGCACGGAAGTGGTGGAAGCGGATGTCCAGGCCGCTGGCTTAAGCGGATGTCCAGGCCGCTGGCTTCGTCTCGGCGTATGCGCTCGAAGATCTCGGCCTCCCACTTCCCCGTCGGCGACGGCACTACGAGCACATTGACGGTGAGGGAGCGGCCGCTGAGGGCGAGTAGTCGCTTGCCAACCTCGACCATGGGCGCAAAGTGACTGACGCCCCATAGGGCCACCAAGACAACAGTCGGCTTCGCCGCTAGCGTTCCACTACCAGACTGGGACGGAGGCGTTGAGCTGCCCATTCTTTGGCGTCGCCTAGTGAAATGGAGAGCGGATTGATCGGAGCCGCACGCCTTCCTTCCCGTGGTTTTATGAGTGACTCCGGGCTCCACTTCTGGAGGTAGGTGCCAAGTCCGTTGCATTAGAGGCGAAGAGAGGTTAGTAAGATGGATGGTGAGATCATCATCGAGGAAAGAGATCGACGGTGAGGGTGGTCGTTATTCTAGCGTCAGAAATTTTGAGACCACATCTCACAACCACCTCCGTGTTCAGTACTACTCATGCTTCAACAATTTGTGGCTGCAGTCTTCACTGCGTTAGGTAGGGCACGTTTGGTTCGCTGGATATGGCTTGACCAGGCCCGTGGAATGCAGGCTTGGGCTGATTGATTGCCCGGATGGGTACCAGGGCCTGGCCCCGCCGGTGCAAAACTGCCTCCCTGGCCTGGCTCCCGGGAAACGAAATCAGAACTCGTTTCTCGCGAGCCTGGCCGGTGCGGTGCAGCGTGGGCGTCTTCTGCTGGCTCTGCTCGGTCACGCGCATGCAGGGCGGTAGCACACGGCCTGTCAACCAAACAAAGTCTGCAACGGGCCATGTTCTCCGGCTGTAGCCAACCAATCAAGCTATGGTTGCATTCGCACATCCTGGCTGCTCAACGCCTGGCTCTAGGAGACGGGCCAGGCTGCTCTGAAACGAGAACCAAACGCGCCCCTAAGGCCTCGTGCGTGTCTCTACATGGTTTCTGTTTTTCCTCATTTCTTACTCTCTACTTTTTCCCTCGTGCTTTCCACGTCAACGCAGAAATCCGCTCCTCCCCAAATCTACTCCGCCTGAAACCAGCGCGACAGGACGACGAGACGATGGCGAGCTGCGCGCTGCCACCGACGCCCGTGGTTTCTCCTTCTCCGTCACCCCCTACGCGACACGACGAGGAGACGACGACGAGGCGCGCCGGTGCCAGTGACAGCCGTAGTTGCTCCACCTCTACTTCTCCGCCGACCCCTGCACGACACGACGAGACACGCCGCCACCAACGATGGCCGCGCAGCCACCGACGATGGCTGTGGTATGTGATCTGGTGCCCAGCTTCCCTATCCACTCCCCTCCTCAAGAATCCATCACGCTCGTGTGCTTTTGCTATACCCGTTTTTTATGCAGACACCGTCTTCCCGTGCGCTCCCCTCCTCCCCGTTAGATTGATCTCTAATCCCAAACTGGGCCCAACGGCCCAGTTGGGTCTTTATCCGCGTCCTGATCGGGGGCGCCCAGCCCACTATGGTTGGAGGGCTCTCTGTCACACTGCGTAATATATAGAGGTGGGGCCGGCGGCTCTGAGTACGAGGTTCGCCTGAGCCGAGCTCCCCACCGAAACCTAAACCCTAATCCCGATCAGAGAGGGGCGCAGCCAGTGACGGGAAGCCACCAGTCGCGCCGCCCCGCTCCACCGACGTCAACGACTTCATCGACCCCTTCCCCGAACGTCGCTGCCCGTGCGCAGACTTCACCGACGAACGAGATGGCGGCTTCTGGATCATCTCCCTCTGCGGTGTCAGGTTCGACACGTTTTTCTCCCTTCCCTCTCTGTCTCTCTAGTTCTACATGTATTAGGATGCGCTGCGTCTTTTATCCCGAATAGAACCACTCTACCGGCTAGATCTACGCTCCTAATGATCATATATAACTAACAATGGTATCGGAGCTGGGTTGCCAGTGTGTAGATCTAGTATGGGGTAGAGAATTGAAAAGAAATCGAAGAGTAACAGAGGGTTCGATCCGGTTCGGATTGAAACCCTAACCATAATCGGGGGGAAGAAACAGAAAGACAGAGGGTCACCGAACCCTAACCCTAACAGGGTGAAGGAAAGGAGTAAGAAGGACTCGGTTCAAGAAGAACCCGAATCCGAGCTCAAACCCACGAAGAACTCGCTGGGGAAGATGAATAGTGACTCCAGTGAGTCAAACCCTAACCCTAATCCCCAATCGCAAGACCTAGATCCAAAAGGGGAAGAAGAAAGGGAAGGGAAGAGGCCTACCTCGCCACTGCCACCGTCGCGCGGGATGTACAGGCGCGCTGCCGCTTCGCCGGCGCGCGAGAAGAAGGCGCCACTGCCGCTAGGGCACGGCCCTCATGGGCGCGGTAGGGCACCGCCGCCAGGCCGCTCGACGGCGGCGCGCTCACCCGTTGGGGAGCGTGCGCCGGCGAGGGGGCCGGCGATGGTGCCATGTCCGTTCGCTCTCTGCGCTCGCTGCTCTATCGCTCACGAGGCTGAGAGAGAGAAGGGGAGAGAGAAATGATGCTAGGGTTCCGGGGGAAGCAGCCGCGCGCCGGTTTTGTTCCCGCGAGAAGCACGCTTAGCCGTCGGATCAGAACGGACGACGCAGATCGATCGGCCCAGGCGGGCGCGCGTGGTCACGCGGCTTTGGCGGCCTAGGCCCAGGTTGCGGCCTGGGAGGCACAGCGCGCGCGCAAGCAGAGCAGGCCGAGCCGGCTTTTGCTGCTGGGCCGAGCTTACAGTGAAGAATTGAATTAGTTTTTTTTTGTTTTTCTTTTTCCAGTGAATGTTTATTTTCTAGAAATAGATTAATGGCTCAAAGGAAATAGAAAAGAGATTTTTCCTGTGGGTAAAATTCATTAAATTGAATTAGTTTTTCCGCTGCTAAAAAATAGTTTATTCTCCAGTTATTTTGAACCAACGTGATATTTAATTGGAGAAAAAGAGATTTTGACATAATTATGATGTTGTTATTTTCTGACCAACGTTGTTAATAACAATATCGTAATTTTAATGATTTTATGCATTATTTTTATTTCTGCCCAACGGTGATGTAGATTTAATGTATAAATAGTTATATGTTTTAATTTTGACCAACGTTGGAATCAAGGCATGCAATTATTGTTATTATTTATGTTCTCACTCTATATGAATTATGTTTTCAGGCGGATATAACTTGATGGGTTGTATCAAAGAGATCCCCACTCTCAAAGGTGATAACTACACGGAGTGGAAGAAAAAGATTGACCTAGCCTTCATCTTGGCTGAGGTGGACTGGGTAGTCACCTCACCGTGTCCTACTAAGCCTGTGGCACCGGTGAGGGAGACAAACGAGGCTGATGACGCTTGGACAACTAGAGAGAGGGATTTTGCATCCCAAAAGATGTCCTATGATCTTGAGCATAGGAAGTGGGTCACTGCCAACAAGAAATATTTGGTTGTGATAAAGAACACGATTGAGCCTGCAATTGTGGGCTCAATCCCAGAGTGTGACACGGTCACCGAGTACCTCGATAGAATAAAGAGTCAGTTCACTGGCTCTTCAAAGACATATGCTACCCAGCTGATAAAGCAGCTGATGATAGAGAGGTACTCTAGAAATAGTGGCATAAGAGAGCACATACTAAGGATGAGCAATTTGGCATCCAAGCTAAAACCAATGGATCTGGATCTCAAGGAAGAGTTCCTTATCCATCTGATTTTTGCTTTCTTGCTAAAGGAATTTGACACTTTTGTTGTCAACTACAACATACAGCCCGAGAAGTGAGACTTAGAGAGTCTCATGGCTATGTGTGTGCAAGAGAAGGAGAGAATGAAAGCTGTCAATGGTGGCACTATCAATTATGTGAAAGACAACAAGAAAAAGAATAATAATGCTAACTCCTCAAAGTCAAAGAGAAATGGTCCCATGCTGCATCAGCCTCAGCAGAACAAGTTCACAGTAGAGAAAGACCAGTGTCTCTATTGCAAGAAAACAGGATATTATAAGAAAGATTGTCTCGATTACTTAAAGATGATCATGGCAAAGAAATGTGAGAACATTATTACGTTCATAAATGAATTCCTGTATGTACAGTATTCGAAATCTACTTGGTGGATTGACTCAGGTGCAACTGTTCATGTTGCTAATTTCTTACAGGGATTCCGTTCGACGAGGACTACGCAAAGAAGAGAAAGACACGTTAAAGTTGCAAATGGAGTCCGAGCAGATGTTAAAGCCATTGGCGATCTTTCTCTAGAGCTTGCTGATGGCTTCACACTTTTACTTACAGATGTACTTTATGTTCTCTCTTTACAGAGAAACTTGATTAGTGTTTCATGCTTGGATAATGATGGATATGATTGCCATTTTGGAAATGGCAAATGTAAGATAACATTTAATAATGCATGTGTTGGTCTTGCTATCTTATAAAATGAGCTTTATTTGTTATCACTATGTGATGATGTGAATGTTGTTTGCGATGATGGGAACATTGCGTGCGACAATGAGAATGTATCCTCGTCTGCGGATGTAAACAGAAAACGAAAGAGAGCTCACGATGCGTCGTTGAAATTATGGCACTGTCGTTTGGGTCATATTTTGAGGGGGAGAATAGAAAGACTAGTTAAGAATAATATTCTTTCTCCATTAGAATTCTTAGATTTAAAACAATGCAGAGAATGCATAAAAAAAAAGTATGTAAAGAAAATTAAGAAAGACGCTCCTAACGATCCTATATAACTAACACTCCCAAGTCGAGCCCCATTGGAGATCTGCTACCGGTTCGCACGCTGCAAGTCCTTGGATCCATCGTCTACAGTTGCCTCTTGCCTGCTCATGCTGCTCGCCACTGCTCTGTGACTGCAACAGTTTCTCATGTGGCCACGCTGTGGTGACCACGTTTAAACCAGGGATCCTCCTCTCATCTCTTATTAATTTCTTCCCAAATAGGCGAAGTGTCAATTCCGTATATATGAAAGTTAATTTGTTTCTTTGCGTGCTCTATCACCAAGAGGAGTAGATTGATATATATGAGCGACTGAATCCAGACTTGCCACCTTATGTACTTTACAAAATGTCATAATTTTTCATCTCGTGTTACCTCCTCACCAAATGCATGAATTTCATCTCGACTGCATGACATAATGTGCTGACATTACTATACAGCGCAGGGATACAGTAACACATAGGTTGAAAAAAATGTTACTAGCTCTCTTAGTAACACATTATTTTTTGTGTTCCAATTGGCCACGTTACTATAGACTGATCT